TTACGCACTTATAAATGCTGTTTATATTGTAAGTCCTTATATCTAAAGATTTATTTATTTTCTGCTCTCAAAATATAAAAACAAATGCCTTTTGGAAGTACATATAGTAACTAAAAGTAGTTTTCGAGCTTTTACATTTATTATTTATGTTATACTCGACTTATTAGCAAGTCTCCGAGATTTTTTCTCTCAGTGCCCTTGCAATGTCTGTGATGCGTCTGCGCCGGCGCAGCAGTCGACCAATAAATTGTGACGCTAATGTAAAGTGTGGCAAGCCATTAGTAGAACGAACGGCAGCTCCGTCAGGATCGGGTTGTTGAACCCCGGGACGGGACAGCTGACAGTGTGTGTGGGAAGAGGATGGAAAATTAAGAGAACTGGGAGCTGGGAGCTGGGAAACTGGGAGCAGCAGCAGCGACTATGGCCACGCCCCAGAAACGCCTGCCCACTAAGTTGGCATTTTTATGGCATCCGCCGCCAACAGATTTCACTTCCAGCGGAAAACGGAAGTGGCCAGTTGGGCAGCAAAGGAGATCGGACCAAGATCGGGTCTAGGGGGGAGAGCAATTCAAATCAACTCCCCAGCGGAGACAACTTCCTCAATAATGGAAAGTATAGCTATTCCTTATACCCTAGGTGGGAGAGGTTTTGTTTTTCCTTATTAAATATATGGATTTGTGATGGGTTAAGTTATACTTAGATATTATTTATATACCTATATCATCTTAATACGTTCTTGATTAATAAATAACTTAATCAATACTTGCAACAAATTCTGTGGATTTTTAAAAACGAAAGCCATATAATATCTAGCACACTTTTTGTCACCTTATTTAGGGATCTAAAGTATTCTATAAATTTTGGTTTAGTAGTAAGTAAAACTTTTAATAAATACAAATTATTTCTAAACTACATTTTCCTATATTTCTCTTCCCTGTTCCTATTAATTTTTCATAAACCAAGTGTATTTAAAAATTCGTTATCACCTTCTATCTTGATTTTTTTGTAGACGCTCTGTACTCTCGTTTGTGGTTTCGATTTAATAGATTAATTAGAGGCCACACCGGACCAACAGCCGCCCATTGATCAGGCAAAAGTTGTTGTCGCCGCCGTTGGACTTCCGTCAAAAGTCGAGGCAATTGTCACTAGATATCACCTCCTCGGGGCTTTAAGTTTTCAAGTTTATAAAGCGCTGAAAACACTGAGGTCTACGCCTCTGTTGCGGTGGCTGTCCAAATAATTTTTTGTTTGACTCTTTTTGCTCTCATTGCGACCTCAACTTTAACCTCAACCTCAGATGGCCCAAAGGAAGGTGGTCGAGGAGGAGGAGGAGGAGTGGAGAAACCACAAGGCACTTGATGCCAAGCGATGGCGGCGGCGCTGGTGGCGATGCCGCATTTCACTCGGAGGAGGAAACGCTGGGTAAACCAGAAGGAAAGAGCCACCGGGAACGCGGGGGGGAGGCGGCGGAGGACGCAACGAGGACAGAACGTGGTTAGCAAATTTATTATGTAAACGGAAATACGGCATATCCTTGCCCAGGCAATGTCGGCGCCGCAGCAATAGAAATAGTTTCCAGCCCCGCTGGCAAAAAAAAAAAGAAAATGCAGGACAAAGGACTCCACGAGTTGCAAGCAGTGATGACAAAGGATTTTGTTTTAAAATAAACAAATTGATAAATTAAATATTAAGATAATAAATATAGGAACATATATTATATATTATATTTTATAATAGATTTTAGTCTAGAAGATATAAGTTATTATAGTTTGGGTTTGGGTTTTAGATAGAATTTCTAAATTAACAATTGAATATTTTGGAAGTAAACTATGGAAAAAGTATGTAAACAATTGTTTAGATTTTCTAATGGGTAAATTGCCTGAGATCCTGATTATGTTAACCCTTTAATAATTCTTTAAAATTTAGTAATACGGCATATTATATTAAGTAATATCCTATATATATACTATCATAATCTTAAAGGTATTTACTTTAAAGAACGTCTTTCAGGAAAGGCCTTTCTAAAAGACATTGCTAATATAAAGAACTCATCTTTCATGTTTACAAATTGATAAATTTATTATAAATTTATTTAAAAAATAACTTTTCTCAGCTTAAAAGAGTTTCCAAATTTTTCATAATTAAAATTTTATATTTAATATAAATTTATTATGAATAACTCCGCATTTGTGTTGCATCTCTGTTTACTGAAAGCAAAGTAATGGAGCGGAGGGTGCCAGCTCGTAAATCGCATAAATTGTATAATTCTGGGCACTCCATTCGTGTTGTTTTTGTTTCTCTTACTTTTTGTAAAATGTTTGTTGCTTTGTTTTGTACACTATTTCGTGGATTTTGTTGCCAAATTGCGTTTGTAGGTGACTCCAAAAGGTCCTTTATCTCCGCCCATCTCCTTTGCCAGCCAGGATGAAACAATATGCTGCCAAAGGATAAGTTCCCGTAGAGTATAGCAAGGGGCGTGCGACGACAGGGGCGTGGCATTAGTGGGATTAGTGAATTAACGACAAATTGCAAACACCTGCGACACCACAAAGAGTCAGCAACTTTCCAATTGCAATTGGCCAAAAAGTCGGTCCGCTCCTGCATTCAATCCCATTTGCCGGCTCAATTAACAGTAACTTAAGGGAATCGGGTTCATTTAAATTCATGAAGTTTCCTCGCCAACGTGGCCAGGAGTTTTCGTTTGGGGAAAGCGTAGAAAATGGAAAAGAGGCAGAAAGGAAAATGACAGTAGACAGGACGATACGTTGACCACAACAGCCGCAGGATAACGTAAGGGGCAGAAAAAATAATAAAACCAGAACAAATCGAGAAAAGAAAAACAATTTTATGAAGGAGAAACATGAAAAAGTAGTTGAAACCGAAAATAAATGAAAGCAGATAATGGAAATAAGTGCAATTTGATTTGGTCTAGGGATTTTTAGAACTGGATTAATAACAGCTTTTAATGGGTTTAATAACTATCAACAGTGTGTGGTATTTTATCGAATCTTTTATTGGAAAATATGGATTTAATATCTGTTTTAAAAATATATCGAAGAAGGTGTAATTTTATATAAGAATTTTTCGGAAAACACCAAGTTTAAAAATCTCATAACTAAGCAACAAATACATTAATTCTTATACGGAAATCAGTCCAATGTTACTTTTTATTAGGTTACAAATCTGCATACTCAATTCAGTTCATCCTGATCAAGAATATATATGATTTTTAAGGTCGGAAATGATTCCTTCACTGCGCTTTAAGCTTCTGACTGAAATTATAATACCCAGCAAGGAAATAAAATTGCCATGGAAAATATATAAGAAATGAATAAATCGTTTAGGTTATGAATTACATTCTAAATGAACTTATAATAGAAGTACTTTAGTGTCTCCATTGGCACTGACCTCTGTGAAATTTCCACCCATCTCCGTGGAGTTTCCCGCTGATGTTCCCACTGTCCACACTTGATTTCATTGCTCTGCATCTCTATCTGGTTGAGGAGGGGTCACACGGACGCATCAAATAGGCAAAGTTTTTTGGTAGCCACAGCGACGCCTCTTGCCAAATTTATGACATTGAATTTATGTGCAGCAAAGCGTGCCGCCGTCCGTCCCGAAAAACCAGAAGGCGGGGCTGGGAAACGGAAGTCGGAAGCAGGAGAAGCCGATCGATTCGCCAGAATTAACATCATCCGAGCAAGTGTCGCAAATTTGCAGGAGGAGGTGGAGTCGCCCATGAAGAAGCCCATGGAAAAAAGCGCGCTAAACTGCTTAACACTTCTGCATGGTCACCCAAAACAAAAAAAAAAGCAGAAGAAAATGGAAATGAAAATGGAAATGGAAACAGCGACCATAACTCATGCGACACAAGGCTGAGGCCACGTCGGAAGCTGAGGGGAAATTGTCTAAGAAAGGCAAAAAAAGGAAATGGCGAATGCATTAAGAAATAAGCAATTTGTTTCTCAGCTTCTCTTGGCCAAAAGCAAAAAGTGCCACAGAGAGATCGGCAAGAAGAGCCAATTCGGGGGAGGAGTGAGAGTGAGGCGAGGGAGCTTCCCAGGACCCAAGGACACGCCGTGCGCTACTCCTTCTCAAAATATAACCCCCGACTAAGTAGTTGCATTAAAAGCTAACAACAAAACCTGCGACAATAGTAGACAAACACGACAAGAAACAAATTTTTGGTAGCGCGCGGCCCAGCGCCTTGGCCGTAAAGTCGAGCTGTGTCTGTCCTACTCTTCCCCAGAGTTAGTCTGCTTAAGCCACCACCACCCCCCTTTTTTTGTGTAGTGTATCCTGCGTTGCCCTTTGCTGGCAGCGACTCAAAACTATGCGACTCTTTGGGCGGAGTTTGGGGCTTGTAGCTAGTAAGTCATGCGGATTTGCCTGATAGTCTGTTTTTTAACTTTAATAGAATTTAAGATACATTTTTTACGTAGATTAAAGTACGCAGTTTTAAATGTTGATAAAAATGTTAATGTTTAATAAGCAAATTTTAACATATTGCAAAATATACAGTGCTTTAGTATAATGTAACTACAGAAGATTAAATAATTTAAATATATATATATATCATTTCTAATTTGTAATATATAATATAATTAGAATTCAACCTTATCCAAGCTTTATATTGATTTTTGAATCTCGCGCCTTTCTGTTTTCTTTTTTGTTGCTCCCCCAAACGGCCATCACGGGCTCTAGTGATTTCCATCATGCCCTGATAGGTGTCGCTTGAATCGAAATTGGAAGTGCCAGACTGAGTAAGTAAATTTGAGCTTTTTACCATTTTCGGCTCCCAACGATAATTTATAAAAGCAAATAAAACCTATAAATAATCTGTTTTAATAGCCAATACATTCTGTTATATAAAAAATGGTTATTTTGAATATTATAATATAAAAACAGCAGAACCAGTTAATTAAACATATTGCAAAAATATATCCCGATATAAATATAAGCTTTTTCTGAGGAATATATCGATATATTGATATTTTGCTATATTTTCACATCCCTAGTAACAAACGGCCAATTTCTTTCGACGGGCAAAAAATACAAAAATACGATAAAAAAGCGGTCTTTTCTCGCCACACAAAGGAGAAGAGCCGCGCGGCTTCGTTCGCGTCGTAACCGGTGAAAAGCACACTATATCTGGGACTTTTCCCTCCATTTCCCAAGGAGTTTTTCTTTCGCCGCATCGGACTCGCAGCAGCCGGAAAAACAGACACACGCACACCGCGGAGGCAATGGAAAGCGAAAACGAAAACGCATGTGTGTCGCTGGGATAAGACGCAAAGGCGAAACGGCAAAAGAGGCGAACGAGTGGAGCTGGTGAAATTGCGACAAAAACTTGAGCCGAGATTGCCGAAATTGCATCTCAAGTTTTGGAGTACAAAGAGAAATAGCTGCAACTCTCACTCACACACACGCACGCGTCACACACTCTCTTTTTGCCGTGTAAAACCAATACAACCAAAAAACCCAAAAACAACAACCATGCAATCTTTGCAAAGTAGTTAAATAATTCTGCCCTGTCTGCGCTTTATTTCCTTCTTCATTTTTGTTCTCGTTTGTTTTTCTTAATTTCGTACTTTCAACAAGTTTCTGTTTCTTGTTTCTGTTTTCCCCCTTCAAACACACACACACACACTCGTCTCCCGACGCGCAGTTCTTTTTTCGCTAATACTTCAAAACAAAAACAACAACAACAAGACGGCAACGGCAGCCACAAACACTGACGCACACGAACAAATACCAGCTACCAACACCAACGCAACGTCTCTTGTGACGTGCGAGCGCAAAAATTGTCGTCTTTAGATTTTTGTTTGTGCACTTTTCGCCATTTCCCTTTGTGTTGTTCCGTTGTGAGCGCGTGAAAAGGGGAAGAGGAGGAGTGGAGACAGCGAGAAAGAGAGAGAGTGCTAGCCGAGAAGCACCTGCAAGAAAGCGGCACGAGATCGCCAGAAAAGCAGAAAAAGCAAAAGCGACCGGCTCCCAATAACTCACTTACACACACACATCCTCGCCTCGCGCCCACATCGAGACACACTTGTTGCAGCGGAAGAGGAGAACGGGCAAAGGAGCGATAAAAAGAGGAGCATAAGGTGGGCGACAAGGAGGAGGAAGAGAACAAGTGCCTAAGAAGACAACACCGCTCATCTGCTATCAGCGAATACCACTGCAAAAGTAAGCAAACACGAATGGGGGAAGAAAAAAGGAATAATAGGCGCGAATATTACCCTGTAAAGCTAACTCATAGAGCGTTAAACAACACCTGTTGTTCTCCCAGTTCAAAGGCGGGAAATGTTGTTTAACAACAAACTAAACGCCATACTTTTATTAATTAGTCAACATTCTTACATCTGTCCTCCCTGTTGGCGCTTTTCTTAATTGTTTTACTCACTTGGAATTTATAAAAAAGGTGTTAGTTTAAGTACAAATATTAAGAGCTTTAAAATATGGTATTGATATTATATTAAATTAAAAAGAAGTTAAGTTTAAAGCTTACAAGGTCACCCAACAGCTCACTATTCCTGTAAAGAAGCTCCAATCTGTCTGACCCAATTTTCAAATCGATTTGTAATATTCTATAGTTCTTTTGTCCGGTATTTCATAGCCACATTAATCACTTTTTGATACTACTTGCCCAGCATGCCCACCCCCACAGGAATTGCCGGAAAGCAGACCCATAAAATAGTCCATATAACATTCACGAGGGACGCCAATCGGCAAACGCGACCGGCACCCAAGTCAAGTACGGGCAGCGAGACCTACCGGCTGATAAGCCGGACGGACAGGGGCGCTGCAATTCGCCGATTGCGGGACAATCTCACATCTGATAAGGCCCGAATCACGATTTTCCTGTGCCCGCACATTCAAATTAAAGGCGTCAGCTATAAAATGATATATAGAGAGCTTTGCCATTTATCAGCAATTATTATTATTTTTAAACGTGCCCAAATGAAGGGGATTTGGCCACATTGCAGCTTTAAATTAAGTCCCACAAGTGCGGCGATTTTGATTTGATGTTTATTCTATTTTCCAGATGGTCAAGGAGAAGCCCAACTCAACTCGTATCTACGACAAGGATGGATTCAGGCGACGGGCTGCCTGTATTTGCGTGAAATCGGAAAATGAGGCGGAGGTGAGCATGGTTCAGTAATAGTTTACTCAAAAACTTATTTAACCATCTATATTAAAGGTTCTTTTGGTCACCTCTTCTCGTCGGCCGGAGCTGTGGATCGTCCCTGGAGGCGGCGTAGAGCCTGAGGAAGAACCATCGGTTACCGCTGTCCGCGAAGTTCTGGAGGAAGCCGGTGTCGTTGGCGATCTGGGTCGTTGTCTTGGCGTATTCGAGGTTTGTTTTGAAAACAAAACGTAATTTATTTAAATGGAAAATTGGCATTGAGTGGAATGCTTACCTAAGGTAGTAAAAAAGTATTTAAAACTGAATAAGTTTATGTTTTCCCTGGAAATATTTAATAGCTAAAGTCGTTAAAAAACCAACAAATATTAACTACAAGTTTGATTATTTCAATTCAATTAAATAGAAATTCCATTAACCTTTTCAGAACAACGATCACATGCATCGCACCGAGGTGTTCGTAATGAACGTTACCCAGGAGCTGGACGAGTGGGAGGATTCGCGGAGCATCGGTCGGAAGCGTCAGTGGTTCACCATCGATGATGCATTGTCGCAGTTGGCGCTGCACAAGCCGACGCAGCAGCACTACCTGATGCAGCTGCAGCACTCCAAGACGCTGGACAATACGAATCGGGTGGTTAATGCCACGCATCCGCCCAAGCTGACCAATGCCGCCACACCGGCCGCGTCGCCCACAACGGCATAAAAGGACAAATGCAGGATACTGGAAGGCGGATGATACCACAACCACACACACACTTAACCCGAGACTAATCCAACACTTATTCTAACCCCATTACCTTACCAGAGCCGCATACACATTTTGACATTTTGAAAATTTACAAATAGACAGGCAGTCTTCTAGATTCTAGATTACGTTTATTAAGCGATACTTATGTTAACCCGCATCCCTCATACGGCCCCATTTGCGTTTAAGTTTAAGTCAAAGCGTTCATTTATGTCTTTAGTAACTGTAATGAGAACTATACTTATGTGTACTCTATAGAGAGGTGAAGAAAACAAAAAAACCACAAAAAAAACGCTACTCGATCAATGCTAAGCGATAATTACATAATTCGAGATCTGTAACACGACACGAAAGCAACGGAAAACTAAAAAAAAAAGAACCTTTAATAATTTTTGAGCGAATAGCACTTTTTGCAAACACGAAAAAGAAACTTAAACTAAAACTAGATAAACTAAACAAAAAAGAAAAGCAAATGTAACGATATCTATTAGATTTTTCTACTCTTTTTTATAATTTACTCAAAAAAGGCATCTTAATTGATTATTGTAACAAGCAAAAACAATTGGAAACGCAAAAGAAACACTTGATTAACTAAGCTAAGCGGCCTAAACAATAAATCGAAACCTCTTTAAGCGACGACTAACGAAACAATTTCGTTCTAAACATCAGTTTTCGAAAACAAAAACTCACAACGGACATTTGACGGACGGACAAGCGGACAGTCGAGAAATCATTAGAAAACCTTAAAATAATTAAACAACAGTTGCCTATGCAAGAAGATAAAGCAAGCCCACTGCAGGGGTGATATAAAGATAAACGTTAACTTATTGTAAAAACACACAACAAATGCGAGACAACATATTATGAACTAATTCAACTACTAAGATATGTGCACGTTGTACTTTTCAGAAACAAAAAAACAGATATAACAATAATAATTACGATTATGAAATAATATTAACAACACAAGCTGCAAGGGGGCAAGACAGAAAGAGAGAGAGAGAGAGAGAGTGTGTGCATGTTTTCAATGTGATTTAAGAGATACAAGATGGATGATGGACAATTTTATGTGACATTTTTTCGATGATTTTTTTTCGGCACTTCAAAAGCGCGCAACAAACGAAAATTTTAATTCAAGCTCAAAAAGAGCAACAAAGTCTGGCAGTTGAATCTATGATTTATTCCAAACTATCAATTGTACTTTAGTTGCAAACTAAAGCCGACAAAGGGACTTTTATCGGAACGCTAAATTATATCACAAATTGTTGCAATTAAACGATGATTTACAACCAATAAAGAAGAAAACAAACACAACGATAATTGAGTTTTTTGTTTAAGGTAAATATTTTGTCCGGAATTCTTTTCATGACATTATTTTCTATAAATAAAAGCAAAGTCAGGGAAAACCTACAGCTATAATATTCTCTATGATCTATAATTTAAGGCAAAACTTATTTTATAATAATACCTTTGCAGGGCATTCAAATTTAAGTCAGTAGCTTGAAACGTAATGAAAGAGCCATTTCCGGCCCTATAAATCATATATATTCTTGATCAGGATGAACTGCTGCATCGATCTAGCTATGTCTGAAAGAAAAATAAAATTTTCCAAATTTTGTTAAAATATAAAAATTTGATAAGGGGTTACATCATTTTTTTTTTTTCCAAAAATCGACAAAAATTGAATTTTTAAAATTGAAAAACTGAGTATGCAGATTTGTTATTCTAGTAAAAATTAGCATAGAACAGCTTTCCAAATTAAAATTAATGAGTTTTTGGCTTAGTTATGAGATTTGTAAGCTATGATTTTTTGTAAAAATTGTCTGTTTTTATACCTTTTTGCAGGGTTTTTTTATTGTAGTCAAAAACTTTGAATTGCATCAACAAACGTGGTATGCAGATTTGTTAGTGCTTTAAAAACTTGGACAGAACAGCTTTCCGAATCAAAATTAATGCCATTTTGGCTTAATTATGATGTTTGGAAAACATTGATTTTTCAATGAAATTGTCTGTTTTTATACCTTTTTTGCAGAATATAATTTCAGTCAGACGATTGAAACGCAGTGAAGGAATCATTTCCGACCCTATAAATCATATATATTCTTGATCAGGATGAACTGCTGCATCGATTTAGCTATGTCTGGAAGAAAAATAAAATTTTCCAAATTTTGTTAAAATATAAAAATTTGATAAGGGGTTACATCATTCTTTTTTTTTCAAAAATCGACAAAAAGTTGAATTTTTAAAATTTAAAAACTGAGTATGCAGATTTGTTATTCTAGTAAAAATTAGCATAGATCAGCTTTCCAAATTAAAATTAATGATTTTTTGGCTTAGTTATGAGATTTTTAAACAATGATTTTTTGACCAAATTTGCTGTTTTTATACCTTTTTGCAAGGTTTTTTTTATTTCAGTCAAAAACTTTTAATTGCATCAACAAACGTAGTATGCAGATTTGTTAGCGCTTTAAAAACTCGCACACAAAAGGTGTTCCGAGTCAAAATTAATGCTATTTCGGCTTTATTATGATGTTTGGAAAACATTGATTTTTCAATGAAATTGTCTGTTTTTATACCTTTTTTGCAAAATATAATTTCAGTCAGACGATTGAAACGCAGTGAAGGAATCATTTCCGACCCTATAAAGTATATATATTCTTAATCAGGATGAACTGCTGCATCGATTTAGCTATGTCTGGAAGAAAAATAAAATTTTCCGAATTTTGTTAAAATTTGAAATTTTCATAAGGGGTTACATCATGATTTTTTCCAAAAATCGACAAAAAATTGAAATTTTTAAATTGAAAAACTGAGTATGCAGATTTGTTATTCTAGTAAAAATGAGCATAGATCAGCTTTCCAAATTAAAATTAATGATTTTTTGGCTTAGTTATGAGATTTTTAAACAATGATTTTTTGACCAAATTTGCTGTTTTTATACCTCTTTGCAGGGTTTTATCATTTTTGTCAGAATCTTTTAACAGCATTAACAAACGCAGTATACAGATTTGCTAGCGCTCTAAAAATAAATAACAGCTATCCCAAAGTTTCCTTTCTTATAAATGAAATAGAAAACAACACAACTTTAATTGATTACTTAGAGTTTATTTTTTGCATACGAAAATTTGGCTAAATTACAACTAAATTTAAAGGTAGGTAAAATCTACTTCTTCAGCTGGATCCTGGTGAAGGGATGGGCCTCGATGTAGGCCAGAGCCTTGAGGATGTAATCGGGAATGGGAGGAGGAGTGGGCAGATGGGCGCCCCTCGGCTGGTATCCGTTCTCATCGGCGGTGTACTCCAGTTCGATGGGTGTTCCATCGGGAGCTGTGTACTTGACCGAACCGGCTGCACTCACACCACCCACTCCACTCTCCTGGGCATCGATGTTGTTGGAGGTGCCATATTCCCAGCTGTAGCTGCCATCCTCCTTGATCTCATTGCGATACTTGGTGATCTCCGCCTGTGACTCATCCGCAGCCCGGATGGCGGCCACCAGGAACATGGAAATAATTAGCGCCTGCGTTTGCCAGATAAAGACCTCGATTAGCTATATGATATCTACATATATATTTAGATATGATAACACTTACGCTCTTGAACATATTGGCTGCTTGGCTTGCTGTTTAGTTGTTTTGCTGTATCGCTGCAGTTGCTACTGATTAACTGATTCCGAATTCCGCCAACAGATCGTTTTATACTCGAACTCACCTGCTCAATCCATCCGAACCGATCACTGACCTACACCTACAACACTGCGAACACAGATGACTCTTCGCCGATCCGAATTATTAATTTAATTCGCGCATTTGAAAATATGAGTTTGACCGAGTTTTACGAGCGTTCCTCGGTTAATAGCTCCGTTTGTTATCGACTGTTGTTCGGGCTTTTCAACGGGTTTTACGACCGGCCCAGGTGGTGCTCTATAACCTCTACATCTATACTCATGGCGCATTCTTATCTGCGCCTTAGAAATCACAGATCAGCGATCGCGATTTACAGATGCCAGTGTCTTCGCTCCGCACAAAAGCTTCTTTTCTTATCTAATCTTGACTTAAATTCATAATAAATATATGAATTGTTAACCGAACTAAAGCAGATACAAAATATTATAAAGCCGAAGTTTAAAGACGCTTATCGAGTTACGGATTTCATTTTTTGGGCAAGTCAAAATATTTTATCTATACAAAATATTTATTTTGTAAAGTTAGATTGGAGGTTTCCCCAATAAATATATTTTTAAGTGTTTAGAAATTGTCAGGTTCTGTAAATTAATTAAACCGAGTTCCAATTTTAATACTAGTTCAATACAAGTTCAGATAATTTTACATATTAATGCAAATCCGTAATCATATTTAATTTAATTTTGAAAAGTAAAATACTAAGATAGTCAATAAATTCAATTTTAAAACTTCCCTCTCTCCATTTATAATGGAAAAGAAATCAACTCAACCCATTTTACTCAAGAGAACCATTAGGACTGACAAAAGCACTCAAGGAATCACTCAATCTCCTCCCGAAAGAAAGTGTATGCACAACGGAGGCGCCAATAAGCGATTCGGACTGTCACTCGATTAGCGGCTTTTGTTGTTAATGAGATGCAAATGCGAATATGAATGCGAGCGAATGCCGGCAGCGCAGTTGCGCCAAAGTCGGAGCCGAACTTGAAACTTGAACACATGCAGAGAGTGTCATCGTAAATATTAACCATTTGCTGCCGATTTTAGATAGTCACATTCCTAATTAGATTCCAATTAGTTTCGCTTTTCATTTGAGCCGAAAAGTATGCTTCAAATCGATGATAAAATGAAGTTTTTTCAAGAGCTCAAATAGCAGAGGACAGATAAGTCTTAAACACCCATTAAACAGATTCGATTAAGTTCCTACAAGACACCAGGTTGCTCTTTCTCAAGAAGAAATTTATTTAACATTAATTCATATCTATACTTTATAGAACTGTGTTTCGTTTCCAAATTAAATTAATGATTTTTTGGCTTACTTATGAGATTTTTAATCTTTGATTTTTTGACCAAATTTGCTGTTTTTATACCTTTTTGCAAGGTTTTTTTTATTTCAGTCAAAAACTTTTAATTGCATCAAAAAACGTGGTATGCAGATTTGTTAGCGCTTTAAAAACTCGCACAAAAAAGCGTTCCGAATCAAAATTAATGCTATTTCGGGTTTATTATGATGTTTGGAAAACATTGATTTTTCAATGAAATTGTCTGTTTTTATACCTTTATTGCAGAATATAATTTCAGTCAGACGATTGAAACGCAGTGAAGGAATCATTTCCGACCCTATAAAGTATATATATTCTTAATCAGGATGAACTGCTGCATCGATCTAGCTATGTCTGGAAGAAAAATAAAATTTTCCGAATTTTGTTAAAATTTGAAATTTTCATAAGGGGTTACATCATGATTTTTTTCAAAAATAGACAAAAAATTGAATTTTTAAAATTGAAAAACTGAGTATGCAGATTTGTTATTCTAGTAAAAATTAGCATAGAACAGCTTTCCAAATTAAAATTAATGATTTTTTGGCTTAGTTATGAGATTTTTAAACTATGATTTGTTGCCAAATTTGCTGTTTTTATACCTTTTTGCAAGGTTTTTTTTATTTCAGTCAAAAACTTTTAAT